ACAACAATACAACCAATAGGGAAAAAGCTGAAAAACAACATAAATGCCCATACAATACAATGTTACATAATGTTTAGCAATAATAAAAGAAATATCTAAGTTCTGAAATAAAGCAATGCCCAAAACATGTAATACATATAAAGAATCTGAATCAGTCCTGGGACATAATAATATAAGTTAGTGTTTTACATGTGTGAATAGTTAAGGGGAAAAAACCTGGAAATATATACTGTTAATATGGGCCTTCAGTACATGCTCAACATCTGAGAAGGATGAAAAGGAAGAAGCAGTCAGGTTTACTTTTGCTAACACAGTCTCACATAAATTTTCATTGCCCATATTTCAGTATTACTTGATTTTTTAATAATCAATATTTTCAGTAGTTAGAATTACATGGTCCTTACTTTAAGAAATAAAAAACATATTAAAGGAAGTGAAAGTCTCTTCTGATCTCATTCTTCAGAAATAATCTTTGTGAGCACAAAGTCTATAACCATATAAAATTCTTGACTTGTATATTAAAATGTACATACTGATACTTTTTTTTTTTTAAGACAGAGTCTTGCTCTGTCACCAGGCTGGAGTGCAGTGGCACGATCTCAGCTCACTGCAACCTCCACCTCCCGGTTCAAGCAATTCCCCTGCCTCAGTCTCCCAAGTACCTGGAACTACAGGCGCATGCCACCACGCCCAGCTGATTTTTTGTATTTTTAGTAGAGAACGGGTTTCACCATGTTGGCCAGGATGGTCTTGATCTCCTGACCTCGTGATCCACCGGCCTCAGCCTCCCAAAGTGCTGGGATGACAGGAGTGAGCAACTGCGTCAGGCCCATAGTGATACATTTTATTACAAAAGTGAGGCACTAAAAGCCAAAATGGCTACTTAGAGTAATAAATGAGAAGAATTTATTACTTGGAATTAAGTTCTAGAAGAACAGATTTGAAAGATAATTAGTAACAGTTTTTATCTGAGATAATACCAATTAATTGGTCATAGCTTTCTAGAATGTTACATTGAAAAAAATCCTAAAGCAGACCTAGGTTCATTAAGAAAATAATCAATTATTGTTGATAGTGGCCATGAAGAAGCAGGGATGCATAAGCTATGCTGACATGAATTAAATTCCTTAAATTCAATGATGGTCTTCTGTGGGATAAGAAGTCAACCAAATCCTTCAGTTTTTCACTTTTAGTTAGGAGACAGACTCTCTACAGAAATACCTTCAGAAAGAGAACTCACTTCTTCCAGGTCTTAACTTTCAAAGTATTACACAATCCAGCAATACTCAACAAATATTTATTAATACCTTATATAAAGCACTCTGTGAGGCACTGAATACATAAAAACAGTCTACAAATACAGCAAACAAGAGGCAAACAAGGAATTAAAGAACATTAAGTCCCATGGGAGCACACGCTACTGACAGTGGATAAGGAGCAGGAGGCAGTAGAAGGACATGAATATTCTAGGAGAGGAAATAACAAATGCAGATCTGAAAGCAGGAAGATGGATCTTTTGAGGAAATGAAAGAAATGCAGTACAACTATCACAAGGGAATGTTGTGATAACTAGCGGAGGGACAGGGTAAGGATGGCAGAACGTGATGCTGGAAAAATACACAGGAAGTGATTCAGTTCACAAACGACTTACAGAACCTTGTATGCTGCAGCTCTGCTAAATTAACTGATTAATTCTAACCATTTGCGGGTTCCATTGCATTTTCTATGTACACAATTATGTTACTGATGAATGAAGACACTTTCACATCCTTCTTTCTAATCTTTATGTCTTTTCTTTTTTTTCTTGCCTTATTGTAATGGCTAGGAACTGCAATAAATAGAAGTAGTAACAGAAGTCATCCTGAACTTAGCACGAAAGCATTCACTATATCACCACTGAGTATGACACTCGCTATAGATTTTTTTAAAGAAAATCTTTATCATATTCAGAAAGATTTTTTTTCTATTTCTAGTTTGCTAAAACTTTTTATCATAAATAGCTACTGAGTTTTGGCAAAGGTTTTTTCCTACTTCCATTGAGATGATCATACAGGTTTTCTTCTTCACTCTAATACAGATTACATTGATTAATTTTCTTTCTTTTTTTTTTTTTTTTTTTGAGATTGAGTCTTGCACTGTCACCCAGACTGGAGTGCAAAGGTGCAATCTCAGCTCACTGCCACCTCCACCTCCTGAGTTCAAGTGATTCTCCTGCCTCAGCCTCCAGAGTGGCTGTGATTACAGGTGCCCGTCACCACGGCCAGCTAATTTTTTGTATTTTTAGTAGAAACAGGGTTTCACTATGTTTGCAAGGCTAGTCTCAAACTCCTGACCTGGTAATCCACCCACCGCAGCCTCCCAAATGCTAGGATTACAGGCATGGCCACAGCACTCAGCCCATGAATGTTTAAATGTTAGCCAACGTTGTATTCCTGGAATAAATCTTACTTTGTCCTGATGTGTAATTATTTTTATATATCATTGGATTCTATTTGCTACATACTTATATATAAAGTATACCAAAAAGAAGAATGTAAGGGAAGAAGGAGGGACAAAGGTGTTGGATATGAGAAGTATATGATAAGAAAAACAAAACAGTAGAAAAGGATTATTCAATAAAAGTATTAGTAAGCCACATTGGAACTATCTCTAAAAAAGAACAAGCAATTAATTTTTTAAAATTAAGCAGTACAGGAGACTTAACATCCAGATAATACAAGTTATAGAAAACAATGAAAACTTAATGGAAAAAATCAACAACAAAGAATTGAAGCCATTCCGTCAAAATACCAGACTTGCATTTCCACATTAAAAGGGTCCAGGAAAATGTATGAATCAAGACACAAGGCTGCAAAGTTTCAGAACATCAGGAACAAAGCCAACATTGTACGAGTATTTCCAGAAAGTAAAACAGGCTACAAAGCTTTAAAAAGGTATCAAAATGGTCTCAGACTTTTCAGCCTATGTTACACCGATGCCTTCAAAATTCTGAAGTAATGTTCTTATAAACATGTATTTGTTATCCAGTCAAATAATCGATCAAGAGTGAAGGAAGAATGAAGGCAGACAGTATCTCCCACACATCCTTTTTCAGAAAGCCACATATTCCACCATAACAAATTAAGAGTAAAATGGGTAAAAGAGAAAAGTGGGTATTACTCTTTTCCATTAAAAGTTTTATGTGATCATTTACATTCATAACTTTGGGGGAAAAAAAATCTAAAAGGGTGGTCCAAAGGTAGTGAGTTATCTCAATTGACTGTTTACAGCCAGTTACAGATAGAACTCCTTGTTCTACTTTCCCCCACTTCTCACTACTGCACTTGACCAGTCTTTTTAAAAATCTAAAAAATTAATAAAATAAAAGTTACACAAGTAATTTGTTCAAATCATAACAGAAAACTTACCCATGTAAAATTATATTTTAAATCTAACAATATACTTTTAAATAAGTACATTATAGTGAAGGAAGAAATCTTTTTTAAAAGAGGAAAGTAAATCTTATAAATAAATTATTAGCAGTATTAGATATTTTCATGATGTATTTCTCCTTAAAGTTGAGAAAAGATGAACATTGATAATAAGCATAAACAAAACAACTTCATAAATAACATGAAGAGGGAAAAATCTTCGTCTTCGAATTACACACAAAGAAACCGAGCCAAGTCCTTTAGTAATAAAGTCCTCCTTGATTCAAATTATCCAAAGAGAACGCCAGCTACTCCAAAAACCTTCTAGAAAAGGATGGTCTAGAATCATCACTGTCAAAATATTTCACCAAAGTATAAATGCAACAACAACAAAAAAAACAGAACAAGAAAGAGAGTGACAGAGCATGAGACAGCCAGAGAGAACTCGATCAATTGTGTGAGAAAGAAACAGAGACAGCTAAAGAGCTGAAATCAGAATATGCCATAGAGTTGAATAGCAAGGGAGAAAATCTACACATGACTGCAAGATACTGTTGCCTTGTTTCCTCCATCCTGCTCACTTCATTTAGGCAGATTTAGTTGCCAAATGTATATATATTTCAGACTATTGTGCGTAAATTATTTACGCACAATCACAATGTCGTAAGTTTTCGAAAACATCATTCTCACAAATTTAGAGGATTAACTGCTACAAGAAGTCTTATAAGATTTTTTTTACTTCAGATAACTTTTTAAAATCTAATAGAATCAAAATATTTTAATATCCTCTTTTTAAAAGGATTTTAAAGTATCCAAACATGATTTTTATGATTACGTTTTTAGTGCACAGGCAAAAACGTTCTTGAGTGAACACAGGAAAAATAATAAGAAAATATTACCTTTGGAAAACTCAGAGTTTTAAGGAGTAAGGAGTTACTTAACCATCTAAACAGTAGATTTAATACAAACACATATCTGAATTCTTTTAATATAAAACATATATACTATTTAAACACAACATTAAGAAGTATTCTCTATTAAAGCAGAATTACAAACTTAAAAGCCCAAAACTCCACTTCTGACATAGCTGTAGATGCAGAGAACACAGTCATCTACAACCCAGATAAAAGTGAAAACCAAGCTCTCCACGGCATAAGTATAACTGAGAAGGAGGGCAAACGCATGAGAACAGCAGTGACTTCAGGAATACCCACAGAAGAAAGCTAAGCCAGAAACATAACAAAGGCAGCACAGTCAGCCAGGAAGGGATCTGGGAAGAAGGATGCCATGAAAACCAAGAGAGAAAAGGACTTCAAGAAAGAGCCAGCAAAGGCAGAGGCTAAAGCGAGATCAAAGAGGATGAAGACAAATCAAAACCACAGCAGAAAGTGAATGGCCATATTGAATTGGTTAAGATTACCTATTTCCATCTCAACTGACAGAACTAAGTTTATCTTTGGGGGAGGTGGGGAAGGGGAATGGACAGTTGGAGGAAAACAGACTTTAGTTATCATTCTTGCTGTTTGTAGTCCAAGACCAATAAAAGAGAAACTCTTTCTGAATGATTTTTTTCTTAAGGACTACACTCACCAAACTGTGGAGCAGGCAAGATTCTAGCTGCTCGAATTGGGCCATGTCGAACAGAGAAGAGCTCCTGTGCTTCCCCACTGATCTGCATAAGAGAAGAAAGAAAATATTTCAGTGGGAAAATGCAGGTCACAATAGTATTATATAAAAACAAGATCTTCTAAATTTTATAACAATATTTTGTCTGAAATATATATACATACATATACACATACACTCACACACATTTATTGTTGGTCATACATGTTAAGTATACTCACATCTTAAATTACTGCAAGTAATTTTAGAAAACTGTAAGAACATACAGTTGATATGAACAGAAGAAAAAAGGTCTCTTCTGAAAGTCTGTAATTTTTATCTTATTAAACCATTAGAAATCTGTACAGTTCCTGCACAACCGCTTTCTCTTTGAGAACCAAACTTTAATACTACTTTGAAAATCTCAAATATTGTAGCAACTTTAACAAATATATTATAAATGAGAAAAAGCAATACATATTGCAAAGAACACAAGTGAAATATGAATAACTTAGGTATACTTACGGTTAAGCAACTAATTGTCCGTTAATCTTGAGTAAATCATTTAACCTCAGTAAGCCTATATTCTTTGGCAATCATAAAATGAAAAAGAAAAAGCTGCTAAAAAGGCCTCCAAGATATTTCTAATTTCAATATTCCGGGAACAAAAAATTGTGTATATAACTTTAAAAGTCATCATTTTATTATACACATAAATATACATATAGCTCAAACACTGTATGAATATCCAAGTATTTTGAGTCATTCACTCTATTATTTCAAATGGTAAAGGGTATGTTCAGGACATTTTTGGGGGAATAAAATTTTTTTTAAAAGAAGAATAAAAGGTAAAGGGGCATGGTAATAACGTGTCAAGTGTGAAAAACTGCTTTTCAAACTGCTGATTGAAGCACTGAGCAGATTAAATTATAGTTAAGAATAGCTTTCCTATTTCCATCTCAACTGACAGAACTAAGAGTTTATCTTTCGGGAAGCTGAGGGTGTGGAATGGACAGATTAAATTACTGTACATGGTTCTGTAGTTATTAAAACATTTTCATAATTGCCTAGTGTTTGATGAAATATGCAATATCAGAGAAAACGGCAAACATTATAAAACTGGTTCAAGATACAAAAGAACTTACAACCAACATAATAAAGATATAAATTCAATAGAGAAAACGTACTGATGTTATTTTTAATAGGCCTGCCATACAATCAGTTTAAAATATCAAAGATGTATATATTATAAAGTAAAAAGTGTATAAATCTTACAATATTACTATAAATCTTCAGAGCTTTTAGAGTAACTACTTTTTAGATTTTTCAGTTTCTATCTGAATTTAAGAGCTGCAAACTATAAGTATTTGTGTTTCTTAAATGTTAAGTTGCAGTAACACCTAAATAACCATCATATTCATTTTGTTTATGGTAATTACTACAAATTATTTATTAGCAATAACTCCTTCTGTAGCACTTGGGATGCAGACGTGAAGAATGCCAGGACTAACTGTGCAACAACAGCACCACCTATCACCAGTGAAACAGAAAAGCTGCAAACTCATTATACCAAACTATAAGAACTTATTTACTCTACAAATACCTTTGTAACTTTTAATTTTCAGAATAAAAACCATGGTCATTATAGTCTACATTATTATAGAAAAAAAATAAAATTTAGAAAAAGTCTTAAAAGATTATTCGTTCAACTTCCCCCACAATGTAGTATCATATATTCTCTGAAATCTAAAAATTAGTCTTTTTTATTCCAAGCACATTTATGCCAAAAAGCCTAACACTAATGTAATCTAACTATATTACAGATACGTTACTTGACATTTCCACCTCTTTTTAAGATTTTAACAATAGCCAAAAGAATAAAAACACTGCCAAGCCAATTACATTTTAAAAATAAATTATTGTAACAGGTGTTACCCAATATACATGCTATTCCTATTAATAAAATTAAAAATGTTTTAAATATCATAGAACTTACATTAAAATTATATTTTAAGTAATACTTCTCACTTTACATTTATAATAAATTATAGATTTCTAAAACAAAATCCACCACTCTGAACTATTATTTCTATATGCCAGAGTTCTAGTATTTAGCTTTTGGTCCTATCAAGTAAAACTTTTACATTGAAGAAGTATCAAAAAAAAGAAAAAGAAAAGACAAATCTGTCTTAGCATACTCACAATGTGATAAAAGTTTGCTATTGTATTTAATACACAAGAGCTTACTTTGACATAGAAAAACATTTTGAAACCTGAATACACAATACTTTTCAGCAAAACAGCTTTCAAGACAAACCTAAATGCCCTATTCGAAGCTTCTATCCTAAATCCTTCCTTACAAATAAGGCAACAGGTCAGGGGAAAAAAAAATTTAGACTGATTATAAAATGCATTCCCACACTCACGGTCCATTCTTCATTACCTCTAAGGTCCTAGGATCTCTGTTTAATTATAACTTGGGGGAGGGCATTGGGGGAGCAGAGGAAACATTGTATCACATTTATAGATATTTCTGAATATATTAAAATCAGGATTGTACAACCTTCTGAAGTTAGAAGTATAATTCTAAACTATCCTATGTGAGTCACAAAATGTCAAACTTCCTCAAGGAGATAACTTTGCAAATTGTGTGAATTCTACATTACAGTACCATTTCAGAACAGAAACAGTGTTAATAAAGTTGATATAGACATGATGCATACATTTCAGAAAAGACACACAGAGGATAGTTAGTCTTTAAGATTCTGCTTTAGCTATCTTTCTGAATAATAATTTTATACAAAATGTTCACTGAAAAAAAATGCCTTCAAATAAGTGCCAAAACTGAATTTACTAGGCTGTCAAGAGTGATTTTTTAAGTTTTAAGAAAAGAGCTCATTAAAAGTGGCAAGGAATCTCAGAGATAAGGATTTCATAGATCCTGAAAAGAAGTACACAAACCTATAAGTTCACTTTTAAACCAACAATAACAATAAATACAAGAGTAGAACTACAAGAAAGGAGTGTACCAAGCAGTATTCCAACTTCCTGGCAACTGTGAACAGGGAGAAAACCTCTCCAAGAGCTCCTCATGGTCTCTGCCTTTGTTCTTATTGGCATTTTAATTTCTGATGACAGACTTTTGTTGTTTGGGGCATAAACCGGACGTACCAGTTTGGAGGCACAATAAGGAGAACAAAGAATGATTTGTTCACACTGTAGGAAAAAAAATCTTTTCCAACCATAGAAAATAGCTTTCGCATGGTGAAAATATGCAAATTACATACCAAACCAAAAAAGGGGTGGGGGTAGTACAAGTTTAGAATCTCACAACTCAATCTAAGGCAAAAGGAAATTACAACAGCTAAGACAATAATATACACAGAGAAAAGGCTATACAAGTTCTGGGAGAGCTGTAGAAGTGCTTTTAGAGAATTCTAAAAACAAATGAAGGTCATCTTGCCCTCAGAACCAAACTTATTTCTAAAATTCTGACTACTTCTCATAGACTAACTGTAACATAGGAAATTCAATCAAATACCAAAGACAATAAAAATACTGCTTTATAATGCTGCATTATTAGGACAGAAGTACATATTCACATCCCTACTTTCCCCTATAGATACTGGTTAAATGGATGTTTGTGGTCTGACTTTTTTTTAGCAAACTTTATAGAAAGGTAACAAACACAGAAAAAATACATACATCACAAGTATGTGTATAATACAAATTTTAAATGTTAATACACTCTGAACCAAGAGACATCAAGAAACAGAATATTATGGATACTCAGAAGGTCCTGCTACATCTCTTTTCATAGTCCCAACTCAAGAGTGACCATAACTACAATCCTGATTTCTATTACTTTATATAATTTCTACTTGTTCATGTTACTGTTAATAGGTTCATACAGTATGTACTCTTGGGAACAGCTTCTTTCACACATTATTATCCTTACAAAATTAATTCACGTTGCTTCATGCAATTGTAGTTTTTTTATTCCTATTGGTATACAGATTTCCACTGTATGAAATTAGTACAATTTTATCCCTTGTACTGCTCATGGAGTTGTTTTTATTTTTTAACTTCTAGTTTTTAGTTCTTAAGATGTCAAAGAAGCCAGGCACAGAGGCTCATGGCTGTAACTCCAGCACTTTGGGAGGCCAAGGTGGGTGGATCACTTGAGGTCATGAGTTTGAGACTATCCTGACCAGCACGGTGAAACACCATCTCTACTAAAAATACAAAAATTAGCAGGGCATGGTAGCACACGCCTGTAGTCCCAGCTACTTTTGGGAGGCTGAGGTGGGACTATTGCTTGAACCCAGGAAGTGGAGGTCGCAGTGAGCCATGATCACACCATTGCACTACAGCCTGGGCAACAGAGCAAGACTCAGTCAAAAAAAAAAAAAAAAAAAAAAGTTGTCAAGGAAAATTGTGAAAGATTATTATGTGTTCTGTGTGTTTTTTCTATGGATTACCAAGAGCTCTCTGGCAGACCCTTTGGGGTTACCTGATTCTACAGGGGATCTACACTTTGTCCTTGACTGGGGTACTGTACAAAACTCTGAGTTGTAGAAAACTGATAGTAAAAGAATTGATTTTTGCGCACAGAAATGAAAATGAATTTTGTCTGGCAGAGATACAATTCTACAGAATTCCACTCTGTAGAAACGATTATTCCAAACAGTACATTTTAGTGCCAACAGAATATTAACCAAGTTTGTATCTATCAAAAAATTCATTTCAGTATTCCTAATTGCCTCTCTGTGATAGTCACCTTCTCCTTTGAACCAACTGTAATAGCACCCCAAATCCCTAATCAATGAGTTTAAAAAGTGCAGGATATCTGTCCCTTATATAGCTGTATGATAATCACTGTTTTGCCATTTTGAAAACAACATAATAAAGAATATTGCTGTAAATATTCTCACAAATGTCTTTTAGTAAACATGTATACATATTTCTCTTGGATATATATATAGTAGAGTAACTGCTTCTGTGTATTAGGGCAGGCATACGTGTATCTTTTGCAGATCTTAACAAAATTGTTTTCCAATGTGATTG